AGCGGAAGGGCGGAAGGGCGGAAGGGCGGAAGGGTGGAGGGAAGGAAGCGCGAGCGGTGGAAGCGAAGGAAACGGAGGCGGACGAAGGAGCCGAGGAAAATAAAGGTGGATGGGAAAGAGAAGAAGCGAACGCGGTTGATAGCGGTAGTGGACGGTGCACAACCGGTCTTTCTTCTCGCGGTGAAACGAAATCGAGAAACACTTTCGCGGTTTGACCAACGTCGACGACGGAACGGAAACAACGAAACGGAGAAAAAAGAAGAACGACAAACGATGACCGATGATCGAGGATCGACGATGGCGAATGACGCATCGACGAGCGGTCGACGATACGAATAGCGAATAGCACACGGAATACGACAAACGGCGAACAACACGAAATTCCGTCGCGAGCTCGCGATAACGCGCCAACAACGTATACGACCGACAGACGACGGGAAGAAAGAGACGAGAAAAGAGAAAGACAAAGAAAAGAGAGTGGTGGAAGAAAAAAGGCAGAGAGAAAATTAACTTGGATTATGCGTTGGCGCGAATACGCGACACTGCGAAAGCGCCGAAGAAGGTCGGGCGTTGGTCTGTCTCGTAACATTCACCTGTTCCGTGGACCGTGCTTTATCTGCCTCTATCTATGTGACTCTTTATACGGGCCATTCCGCGTTATCTATCCGTAGGAACACGGACTTTTATCAGTTGCTTAGACGTGCGCCGATAACGTGAAAACTTTAAGCTCTCCACTCGTTTCGCGCCTCTTTTCATTCCCCCCCAGATTCTTCCTTCACCGATTTCTCTCCGCGCGTTGGTTTGTCCGCGGCTCTCGCGGCTCTCGCGGCCCTCGCGGCCCTCGCGGCCCTCGCGGCCCTCGCGGCTCGATATCGTACGGAAACCGCGCGTCTCGCGCGTCTCGCGCGTCTCGCTCGACTCGTCGCATTCGCTCGGCACAACACCAACGACATCCAGTTGTTCGCAATAACAACGGTCGCGATCGCGCCCATCGTTGGCCGTTCTCTTCTTCTTGGATACCCTCTTCCTTCGCGGACACATCGATATCGTTGGAAAATTAGTGTCGACGTAGTCGGCAAACGCTATCCGACGGCGCCGACGAGCGGACAGAAATTTCTCCTAACGGACGTCTTCCGTTCCATGATTTTCCAACCAATAGCCTCTTTTCACGACGATCGTGTGCGTAAAAGGGGCAGACATTCGACGTTGAGGATGTTTTACGCCCACACTTGTAGTCTCTTTTTCTTACCGATCACCCAACGCTTTAGGCACAAACTCGGTCAATACGTAGAGTACATAGGTACACGCGTTACGACGTACGCGTTTCGCGAACGAGCGAGCATCGATATCTAAAAATTCGGTTAATCGGTACGTAACGTTCAAAAACGAGAAGATAATCAGCGATAACGGGCAAATATGGACGGGTAGAACGTGGATCGTAATCGACGGTTGTTCGCGATCGAGTCTTGTTTTACCTCGATCGTGACACGCGGTAAACGATCGTGCGCGTCTTGCCAGACACACGTATGTTTGTACTTGGCCGTCGATAGTTGTTCTTTTCGAAGAAACTGCAATATCATTCTTCCTTCTTAAACGCGTAATCGCGTAATCGCGTAATCGCGATAACGCGTTGGAGAAGAGCGATATAAAGGAGTGGGAAAAGCAGGGAACGCGATTCAAGTGGCGAAGCGAATTAAGAGAAAACCGGATGTAATGCGACTCGAAGAAACGGAGTGAGACCGCGAACGCGAACGCGAGCGCGAGCGCGAGCGCGAGCGCGCGTGCGCTATTGGTATCTCGTTAGGAAGGCACACGCTGTCGATACGTTTGAACGTTTACCGATGTTTTCGCGCTGGAAACAGAGGAAAGGAAGTTACGGTGAAAAGACGATCGATCGATCGATCCAACGATACGCTTTCTTGCCGATCGCTCTTTCGCGCGTATGCGATCCATCTGCAACGTTTTATCCGTAACACCTTTCACTGTCGTTACGTTCCCCGTACGTATCCCCGTTTAACGAATCGTTATTTTATCGGTAACGCGTAACATTCGTTGTTTCCACGAGGATAGTTGGCGAATGAAATGGCGATACCTAGAATGGGAAAGGCAGGATCGAAAATGGTAGAGAAAGAGTAGGTATTGTTTGTCGGTGCTACCGTTGTCTAGCGTAAACGTTGACCGTGAAAGAAGCAACGAGGGTAAAGAGAAGCTAAGCTACTCGAGCGAGACGCGGTAAAGGAGAGCGCGCGTCACTCGCGAGAAGGTATGGCAAAGACGGTCTGGTGGAAAGGAGATATGTACGAGTGTAGAACTAGACAAAGTGCAACAACGTTCACTTACACGATCGACGTATTCGGTAGCGGTAACAGTAGCGGTCGGAGCAGCGTCAACAGCAACGCCAACGTCAACGGCAACGCCAACGACGATCCTTTAGCGGTTACGCGGTTACGAGTCGAGTCGAGTCGAGTAGAATAGAGTAGAGTAGAGTAGAGTAGAGTAGAGTAGAGTAGAGTAGAGTAGAGTAGAGTAGAATAGAGTAGAGTAGAGTAGAGTAGAGTAGAGTAGAGCAGAGTAGAGCAGAGTAGAGCAGAGTAGAGCAGAGTAGAGTAGAGTAGAGTAGAGTAGAGTAGAGTAGAGTAGAGTAGAGTCGAATCGAGTCGAGTCGTAACGGAGACAGAGAGAAAAGCGCGCAACGACCACGATAGAATGTTCGATGCAGGGACGACTAAAATTGGCGATAAATATATATACATGGTATCGATGGACGTTCATCCCTTACGCGTTCGCGCTTTCTTTCGCGGCCTCCGAGAAGGACACTGCGTTGGTCTCTCCCTTTCAGAGAATCCTCCCTTCCATCTTCCCTTTCATCTTCCCTTCCACCTTCCCTTCCACGATTCGTCTCAATTTTTCTTCCAGCTTTTTGTGTCCAATTTCACCTCGCCTCCCTCGGATCCCGTCCTCTTTCTTTTTCCCCGTCTGTCTCTCTGCCATTCGCGGAGTAGACGAGCACACTCCCCTCTTCTTCTACCCTCGTATCGTTCTCGTTCCATCTCTTTCTTTTCTTTTCTCTGGCCATCCTTGTCCCTCGGTCGTTTCATCGTTTCTTTCTCGACCCTCCTCGTCTCTCGTTCCCTCTTTCTCCGCGCGTTGGCTCCATTTACTCGTTCCCTCGTTCCCTCCCCACGAGGCGAAGACGCTATTTTCTCGTGGCCCCTTTTCTTCCACGGTCTCCGCCACCCTTCTCTCTTTTTCTCCTCTCCTCTCCTCTCCGCTCCTCACTCTCCGCGACTCTCCTATCCTATCCTCTCCTCCGTTCTCTCTCCACCACACCGCCAGCACACCGTTTTCTCGCTCGATGGCAAGCTTCTACCCTCTCTCTTTCTCCTCTCTTCCTCTCCTTATACTACACGCGGCGTTTCCTTTTCCTCCCGGTCGGTGCGCGTTTTACGTTTTTCCAACGTTATCGACGTTCTTCCTCGGCTCTTCTCGGACTTTTTCCTTTCGTCGTACCGTCGTACCGTCGTACCGTCCTAGCGTCGTAGCGTCGTAGCGTCGTAGCGTCGTAGCGTCGTAGCGTCGTCGTACCCTCGCGTACCGTCGTCCTCCAGACGACCAACCAGCTCTTTCTCCGGGAAAACGTAAGCGGAAACGGCTTCTCCCCTCCTCGCTAGTCTTTCACATAGCCAGAACCGCGCGTTTCTAGAGGGGAATATTCTCAAATCTTCCAGAACGCTTTCCTTCGCTTCCCTTCGCTTCCCTTCGCTTCCCTTCGCTCCCCTGCAGTATTCTCCTTTTCTTTTTTCCTTCCTTCATCCGGCGTGGAAAAGGCGCGGCCGATAGAACGCGCGACTAATAAAATTTGCATCGCCACCGTCCAATCCTGCCTGCACCGCTGCCTTCAGTTTTCTCCTCTTTCGCCTCTGTCCATTTATCCGTCTTATGTCCGTCTCTTTCCCGAAGCGTGCGGTAATTTCCAGTATTTCGTCTCGTTAACACCGACTTCCGTCAACCACGAGCTTCGTCCTTTTCATCGCCGTTAACGTTTCCTAGTCCTACCGAATCCTTGTATTGACGTTAGCGTCCTGTCGTATCTGCATACGCGTTGGTCGAGTTCCGCGATACGCGAGGGCGCGAAATACAGCGTCTATCTATCTTTATCGAGGACGAGAAACCGAACGAGAACGAGTCGCGTTAAACGATCGTATCTATCGCGTAAGCGTGAACATTGTTTTTCGATAGATATTTCGACGAAGCCTGTTTCACCGAACGGTATCCACTGTATCTCTTACTTTTCGTCGGCGAAATAACGTCGATGTCGAGTTATGGTAATATCGCGTTACCGGTCTATCCTTTCGAGCAAGATTATAATCGATTGGATCAACGAGGACGGTGCCATAGGGCTACTTTTCCCCAAAACGGATTATTTTTCCATCGATTCGTTCATCGTTTCTCGTTCGTCGCTCTCTCTCTCTCTCTCTCTCTCTCTCTCTCTCTCTCTCTCTCTCTGTTCATCGAAATGACAAACAGGAAACGATAGGAAGAACGCGTAACGAAATGAAAAGACAGACGACGCGCCGATCGTTGATTCGGTTTTATCGGTATCTTTTAAGCCGTGCCGTA